CCAACAAATCATTCCCCGCAAGAGAGCTGGCACACAATTCCCAAGGTTGGCCTGACCTTACCCCAAACAGGGGGTCAAACTAGCTAGGGAACCAAGTCCCGACTACAACAACCCTAGCACAAATCAGGGAACACCTGAGTTTTGGGAAAGTACAGAAACCCACACGAGCCCGACACAGAATGGGGTTCAGGGAATGGACAGCCTCCTGACAGGTCTTGGACTGACCTAGGAGGTTCTACAGAGACGCCCAGCAGTGGCTATCACTTCAAGGGGCCTGAGGGTCTACAGCTAGGTAGGACAACCAGGTCACAAAGCAACAGAAGCCCTGGCCTGACGAGCCCGGTGGGCAAGCAAGCAGGCCAGGCATCGGGGCACAGTCCTTGGAAGACACCAGGGCACAATAGAGAGAACAGGCTCACGCCTCCCTCCAGTCAGGGAACTTATGCCAGTAACCCAGAGCTAAGAAGGTCACAGAGAGCAAAGAAATCTCCTAAGTACCTAGAAGATTACATAACATTGCTGGCAAGGCAAAAGCCAGTAAACAGTGGGAGCACTGGGGAGCAAATTGTCGTATAAAATAAATGTTGTATGTTGTTAGTAGTTTTAGCCCTGGGGAAAGGGGTGTTATGTCCCAAGCCTTGCAAACGGCTCGGGCGTTTGCAGGCAGTCCCGGGCAGGTGCAAAGCTGCCCGGGACCAGACAGGCTGTCGCCAGCGCCGTGCGCATGCGCGGGTGCTGGCGCGGGAAAAGTAACCCATTTACCCGGGAGTTGCCTATATAAGAGGCTGCGAGGCGTTTGGGCGAGGCTGAAGCCATCTTCCTGTAAGCTGAACGCTGAATAAAAGAAACTGAGAACTCCAGCTGCTTCTCGTGTCTATTTTCCCGCCACGGACTCAACAAGTACATTTTCCTAAACTTTCTGAGGAACAGCAAAATGGGATGAATTGTTTAATTACTGTGGAGGAAATTGGCTTAGCTATCAAGCAGTTAAAGGTGGGAAAGTGTCCAGGAACAGATGGATTGACGTCGACGTATTATAAAAATTTATATGAAGAAATGTTGGAGCCATTAAAGGAGCTTTTTAATAATATCTTGCTGGGAGCACAAGTTCCTCCTTCTTGGAAAAGAGTGTTTATATCATTGATTCTGAAGGAGGATCAAGATCTTACAGAGCCTAAGAATTATAGGCCGATATCATTATTAAATGTAGATTATAAGATTTTTACAAAAATTTTGGCAAATAGATTAATGCAGGTTATGAAGGATTTGATTCACAGTGATCAATCAGGATTCATAACAGGGTGATACATGAAATATAATGTTAGACAAATTATTAACTTAATTGAGTATTTGGATAAGAACAATCAGATTCCTGTGGCTTTTATATTTTTGGATGCTGAAAAAGCCTTTGATTAATTAGATTGGCAATTTTTATTCTCACTGGTAGAGAAAATGAATTTTGGGGATATTTTTTTACATGCACTTAAAGCTATATATCAGCAACAATCTGCTCAAATTGTTGTTAATGGGGGATTGACTGAGACTTTTAATATTGAAAAAGGGACAAGACAAGGATGTCCATTATCTCCATTGTTATTTGTTTTGACATTGGAGATTTTGTTGATCCAGATTCGAGAATCAACGGTAATCAAGGGCATAAAGATAAGAAAAAATGAGCATAAATTACGGGCTTTTGTGGATGATTTGGTTTTGATTTTGGAACAACCGATTAGAGCGGTTGATTGTCTATTAGAACTTATAACACAGTATGGAAAAGTTTCTGGTTTTAAAGTCAATAACCATAAGACTAAGATATTATCTAAGAATATGTTAGCCAATGACAAGGAAAGTTTGGTTAAAGCCACAGGTTTTCAGATGGTGAAAAAGGTTAAATATCTGGGAGTATATTTAACTGCCTCAAATGGAAAATTGTATAAAAATAATTATGAATTACTATGGGCAAAAGTGCAAAAGGATTTAAATGACTGGAAAAAATTGCAATTGTCATTGTTGGGGAGAATTTCAGCTGTAAAAATGAATGTTCTACCAAAGTTTCTTTTCTTGTTTCATAAGATACCTATTTTTAAAAAAGATGTAAATTTGGAGGAATGGCAGAAGGGTATCAATAAATTCATTTGGGCTGGGAAAAAACCAAGGGTTAAGTTTAAGATTTTGCAAGATGCCCGAGAAAGAGGAGGACTTAAAGTATCTAACTTGAAATTATACTATGATGCAGCCACCTTAACTTGGATAAGTGATTGGCTTAATTTAACAAATAAGGATATTCTTGTTCTTGAAGGGTGGGATTTAATGTATGGTGGGCATGCATATTTAATTTTTAATAAGAAAGTGGACCGGGCTTTCAAATCACATATTTTGAGGAGTGCCTTACTTCAATTTTGGAAAAAGTATAATTATAGGTTAAACTATAAAATACCTATCTGGGGGATTCCTAGACATGCAATTGAGGGGATTTCTAAGGGGATGAACTTTGATAAAATTTCGTATAAAGAATTATTAACTTGGTCAGGTTCGGATTGGCATTTAAAATCTCTAGATGTATTAAGGCAAGGAAATACCGTATTCTACAGTCATGGTTTCAATATTTACAAATAGTGGACAGGTGGACTGTAGATAAAAAAGAAGGAATAACACTAGAAGATGGAAATCTGGTTATTCAGATTAAAGATCAGAGTCAGGCCCATATAAAAAGAATTTACAATGCTTTAATAGAATTAGACTCTGAAACAGAATTGGTTAAAGACTCTATGATTAAATGGGCTCAGAATATCCAGGATCCGATCCCGTTGGACTTATGGGAGACAATTTGGATTAGAAATGTTAGATTTACACAAGCTCAAAATTTGAGGGAAAATTTTTATAAAATGTTTTACAGATGGCATTTAGATCCTAAAAAATTATCTTGTATGTATCCAAATTTACAACCCAAATGTTGGAGATGTGGTAATACGGATGCGACATATTTTCATGTTTGGTGGAATTGTAAAAAGGTAAAGGCTTTTTGGATTATGATTTGGTGGAACATTCAAAAGATTTTTAAAAGGAAGATAAAGTTCACCCCTCAATTATTCCTATTGGGTATCTTTGTGGATTTAAATGACAAAGAAACTACTTTAATGTTGAATTTATTAACTGCAGCAAGGTTATTAGTAGGCTCGTATTGGAAGAAGGACTCGTTGCCTACTTTAGAAGAATGGATATTTAAAGTTTCTAACTTTGCAGAAATGGCAAAAATTTCTGCTTATTTGAAGGATCATACACAAGAAAGATATATTATTGTATGGAGAAGATGGATAGATTATATTCAGAAAAAATATGGGACTATAAAGTTTCATTTATTTTATGAGTAAATTTTATAGTAACTGTTGTAGAGATTTGTTTATATGACTTAATTTAAGGGGAGTTAAAGGTTAAGTATGATTTTTTTTCTCTTTTTTTTCTTTTTTCTTTTTTTTATTATTGTTAACTTTCTTACTAATAACCCTGTACTCTGCTCTGGGAAGTGAGGGGGGGAGGGTTGAGGGTGGGTGATAATGATAATATAGTCATGGTAAACGCTTGGGCATTTCCCCTATGCTGCGTTCATGTGTGTGAGAGGGATGAGAAGGGAGGAAGGAGTAGGGAGGAAGTAGGATGGTTAGAGGAGAAGGGGAGGGGAAGAGAGTAGGAGGGGAGGAGAGAAAGAGGAGGGAAGTGGGGAAGGAGTAGAGAGGGTGGACGCAGCCTGGGGGGAATGGGCAGGCGGTAGCAATGGTTAGGAAATTAATTGTATTTTGTATGAATAAATGGAAAATAAATTTTTTTAAATAAAAAATAAATAAATAAAAATAAAAAAAATGTTGTGGCCTATTGCTATTTCAAGGATTTTTTTCATTGTCAAAAAACTACAGATATGTAGCTATGACCCCTGTTAGGATGGGAACTTCAATCATTAAGCAAAGCAGTTGTTAAGTGAAACATTACATGACTGCTTCACACAACAAGCACAATCCCGGCACTCCCAATTGCACTCATTAAGTGATTGTGCAGGTCATTAAGCATTAAGGACTCTGGGGTGCCTCAGAAGAGATGAGGAAGAGTTTGTGAGTCTCCACTCCCTGCTGAAATCCAAGCAGGATTTTTAACCCCCTGACCTCAAATACACTTGCACACAGTCTTCCCCAACCTCCCCCATCCCCCGAGGCACCCCATGCTCTTTTCCTTACTGTGCATTTTCTGTGCTCAGGAGCTGAAAATCCTCCCTGCTGAAATCCAAGGAAGATTTTCAGCCTCTAAGCAAAGAGAGACTCGCCTGCAGCCTGCACTGGGCATCCCCTACCTGCCTGAGGCACCCTGTGCTTCTTAGCACTGCCTCTCCACTTTCTACTTGGATTTTGGCTCCCTCTCATCTCTAGGGGCTGGCTGAAAGAGCTGCCTGCTGAAGGAGTTCAGCTCCTTTCAGGTGTGGAAGGGAACTCTAACAGGCTGCAGGAGCGTCAGGATTTGAGCTCCATTTCGCATTCCATCAGTGGTGTGCAGCCCACTCATAACAAGCAGCTCTCTCAGCCAGTCCCCAGAGATGAGACAGTGTCTCTCAGCAGGCAAGAGCAGCTTGCAATCTTCTGTAACCCATTGACTTTCTGGGGAACCAGGCAAAGAAGAATGCAAATAGTGATCATGTGATTGTGAGGTGCTTGGCAACCAGTTGTGTGAACAGGTTACCAAGCACCCACATCGCAATCACCTGACCAGAGGTGTGATTGTGCAACATTTTTTGATGGCCAGCACTCTTTCTGAGCCATTATATTATTGGACCATCATTAGACAAATGATCATAAGTCAAGGACTACCTGTATAGATAAATTTTGTGGGTCTCCCTTCTAACACTTGATGTTTCCAAGTTCTGGGAAAGGATCAGGATGGGAAAGCTATGCAGTAGATCTGATGGGATGTCTGTTGATAACTTTGATCAAAGTGATATATATTTTTTTTCCTTGTAGGGTATGACAGGCCCGCCAGGAAGTGTGGGACTCCCAGGACCATCAGGATCCTCTGGGCCTGTGGTAGGTTGCAAATATCCTGCTTTAGTTTGAGAGAACTACTAAATTCCTGAGCTGATCCATGTTTCTTGTTGGGTTTCTTTTTTAGGGTCCACAGGGCCCTCCAGGGTTACCAGGACAAGTGGTAAGTTGCTTCTGCTCCTTCTTCTTCTTGGCCGTTCACTTTTCCATGGGTCATCATTTCGTACTCTGTGTCAAATTACTCTTTCTTCTTAATGAATCAGGCTTTAATGTTCATATGAACTGTAACTATTCCGTAGGGTGAGCCGGGGAAACCAGGTGTACCAGGAAGAGATGGAGTGCCTGGAAAAGAAGGGGAGTCTGGAATGCCAGGGAAAATGGTATGTCACTGTGTGAAACTGCACAATTCTTCTCTGTGCATTTAAGCAGTTTGAAGGTCACCTAACTCCGTTAATTAGGATGTTAAACAGAGTTAAAAGGTAATAAAACACTGAAGTGAGTGGTGAAAAATACAAACCATGCCCATCTGAAAAAAAGACAATTTCTCACACAAATGATATTCTACAGGGACACAACCAGACCTGGGAAAAGAACTAGGTTTTCAGAGATCTCTAACATCAGCACGTTGGGAGCATGCAAATCTTGGCAGTGGAAATACTATTCCAAAGAACAGGCGTCCAGTAGAGAAGGCAAACCTCCTGGGTGGCAATAAATTACATTGTTTAAGGGAGGAAGACTACATCCCCTCTGCTTGATCATATAAGATAGACAGAAAATATTAGACATAAGCAGTCTTGCAACTTGACTTTTAAAACAAGAGGGATACTAAATCGTAGAGATGATCTCATATGTCAACCAGAGTCACAGGTTAGAGAGAAAGGTAACATATACATTTAATAAATAAATGAACTGAATATAATGGGACATGTCTCTAAACAAACATGCATAGGATTGCATCGCCCATGTGGGATGCAGCAGCCTAGCATAATCTGTGCTTCTGTAATAAAGAAAAAAAATGTTTTTGTTAATTGCTTTGTAGGGTATTTCAGGGTCTTCAGGACCTGCTGGTCCTAAAGGGGAACCTGGAGATGCTGGGTCCCCAGGTCAGGTGAGAGGCAACCTTTCCTTTCTTTATCCTTGATGGACAGCTTACATATTTTCTTTTTGCTCCCTTCTCTGTTTAGTAAGTTTTTAAAAATACATTTTTTGCTTTAGTTTTAAATTATTTAAAAACCTGATGGCCTGTCAAAACAATGCATGTAGTCCTCTACTTTTGATCACAGTTGAGCCCAACATTTCTGTTGCTAAGCAAGGCAGTTGTTAAGTGAGTGTTGCCCTGTTTTGCAACCTCTTTGCCATATTCGTTAAATGAATCATTGCAGCTAAGTGAATTATATGGCCATTAAGTCAATCGAGCTTCCCCCCCCCAATGACTTTACTTGTCAGAAGCTGTCTGGGAAGGTTACAAATGGTGATCATATGACCCCAAAACACTGCAGCCATCATAAATACATGCTAGTTTCCAACTGCCCAAGTTTGATTACGTGACCGTGGAAATGCTGCAATGATTGTGTGAAAACCAGTCATAAGTCACTTTTTTCAGTGCCCTTGTAACTTCAAATGGTCGTTAAATGAATGGTTGTAAGTCAAGGACTACCTGCAATTAAATTTTGTTTTTCAAACCAAACCTGATTAATAGCTCTACAATAATAGAACAGCTATATTAAAATAGACCAAAACCTATCAACTGTAGTATTCTGTTTCAACATTGCTTGACCAGTTAAATCCTTGTAGGACATTTCCAGTAGGAGATAAGTACAATAGTATCCTCCTACTCATGTTTCCCAATATTGGCTACTGAGAGGTAATATGACATCTCATCTAATAGAGGTGATATAAATATCACAATAGTTGTTATCTTCTATATTTTATTAGTTGTCTTCTAAGACTGATTTCATGAGCATCATGCACTTAAAAAACTGTTTTTTGCAATAGTCGAATTACTTAATAATCTAACCCAGGCATGTCAAACTCGCGACGTCACATGACGTCGCGTGACGTATCGGAGCTTTTTCGCCATTGCCGGCAATGGGGTGGGCACGGCTCGGGTATAATGAAACCGGCCTGCGAGCCGGCAGTTTGACACCCCTGATCTAATCAAAGTCATCAATCTTTCTCCCTCTTAATGTTTTCTTTTGGTATGTACTATATATTAATTATGTCAAACAATATAGGCCTCTTAAAAAAAAATAATATTAGCTATGTTGTGTGCTACTTTGATTAATCTTAAAATATGTTATTTAGTATGGACATTATAAAACGTTACATTGAGGCTAAGGAAGAAAGAATATATAGTGTGTGGAAACTGACAACATATTAGCAAAACAAATCTCTGAAACAATCATGAGGTTCTTTGTTCTTTTCCATCATTTGTCAGGTGGTTATATGAATTAAGAAGGTACTGGACAGTGTTCCAGGTTTTTCATGTTGACAAAATATATTTTTTCAATAAATAAATAACTTGGGAGTCTTTTTTAACGGTGAATGTTGAAATTTATTTAGGGCTAAATATGATGCAAATGGTTTTTATAATGAAAGAGATATATGCTTCTTTATTTCCAGTGTTTGGCATTCTTTAGGAGAGATTATAGAACCATTACATTTTGGGAACAACTATATGGAGTGTATTTTTTGTTAACAGAAAAATTTTCATCCTTTGTTTTTCAGATCATCGTTTGAAGTATGGAAAACATGATAGCATCCTAGGATTTCTTTTTTATTATTATGTAGCTATTTCTTCCATTATTAACATAATGATATAATTAAAAGGACAGTCCTTTGTTATTAATTGCAGAAGAAAGTAGAAAGAGCAATTCATCCTTCTTTTTCCATTGTCTCAGAAACTGTTATTTTGCTTTTCTTAGCTATATGTAATTTCTGCATTCATTTTTAGAAAAAACTTTATAGCAAATATTGTTTTGATACCATTCATTTATTCCTGTTAATCTTTCTTCTTAATCTGATTATTATAGACTATAGTGGGGCCTCCTGGAATGAAAGGTGAGAAGGTAAGCTGAAAATCCAGATAAATAAATAGAGAAAATTAATATATTATTATTTGGGGTATAAGAACTTAACAAAAAATCAGTTAAATATTCTTTGGTAGCTTCAAAATTTTCAGATTTTGGCTCACAAAATCCTCAAAGATTAGTTCTTGATATTTATAGTGATTTTATTAATGATGATAATTACAATAGTACAAAAGGAAATAAGATAGAAGGATGAAAAAGAAGAGAAAGAAAAGAAATATATATATATTAAAGAAAAAAAAGAAATATATGAAGAAGTGATTTCTCATTTTCATCATAAGTATAAACAATTTTAGTAACTTATCACATCCTAAAATATAACAAATACTGTATTCTTTTCTTCCCATTTCCCATCTGTTATCTATAAACAACTTCATAAAGCCTCATCATTTCAATCTTGATGTCAGCAAAACTCCAGTAAAACTTAACAAAGATAACAACATATCTGTTTTAATCTTCATCAAATAAATCAGCTCCACTTTTCAAAGCTGTCTTCATCCTGCCATTTCTTCCTCCAGAAGACACTAAATAGTAGCCCTTGAATGAAAATTTGATTTTATGATATAAGAAAATTTTGCTAGTATGTCTTATTTGAAACAATAGCTTGCTTCAGGCAGGTTTCTCTGGGAAGAACTTGCATTCTATGAATGTCTGGCAAATAACTGAATTTTGCTAAATAAAGTGGTAGATTTTGTACACTTTCTAGAAAAGCAAGATTAAGCCCATTTGAATGGACATTAATATATTGATAAATTATCTTCATGGTCTGTTTTAGGGTGAACCAGGCGATTTTGATGAGGAAGTTCTGAAGAAGCCAGTAAGTTGGCTTTTCGTATTCTTTTCCATGCTTATTTCCCCCATTTCCAGGCAACTGGTTCCCAGGGCAGGTATTGATCTTTCTTCTTTGCAGGGTCCCAAAGGTGATCGAGGCATACCAGGTCCTCGTGGAGACAAGGTAAGAAAACAGTTTTACAGGCAGGAACTTCAGCTCTCATTCTCCAGCATCTATCAACTTCACAGAAATATTTGTCTTTAATTCATTCTCAATGTTGACCTGTCTAGATTATTTCTATATTTTTATAATAGGGTAATCCTGGAAGTCCAGGGATATCTGGAGATCCTGGAGAAGATGTAAGTATTTTGGAATATACAATATAGTAATTGTATGATTGCAGAATCTGCAATGGCTTAGTAGAAATATAATACCCCAAGTGGGTTTTGACCAGATGAAAAGACTCAGTTGTGAAGAGTTATGATCTAAAAATGAATAATTATTTTTAAAGGAGGATATCGTAATTTAATCAAATACACTAAAATATGCCTAATATTAAATCCCTTCCTGAAGAGGACTTTTACTGTTGTTGTTTTTTAAATTTCAAAATAGAATCTAGACTGCAATATACTGAGACAACTTATTCCCAACACTAAATAACTTCTTGCGTTCAAGAGCTTTTACATATTAAAATTTGATCTCAAATACTTTTAATAGACTGTTTTCTCAGGAGATATGCTGGCTACTTGTCTTCTTTTTTGTTCTGATTTTGAAAGATTTCATGTGCCTCCTTCTACCTTTGCATTATTATCAACCATTGAAACAGTAATCTATGATATATTTCTGAATTTTAATAGGGAGCCAAAGGATCAGCTGGGATCAAAGGCGAAAAGGTATATGGTGATTGTCATATATTTTGTTCCCGATTCTATAGAAGATGTGTGCTTAATTTCTAAGAAGATTAAATAATACACAAAATATTAGAGTGTTTAGTCATTAATTCCAGCATAGCATTCTGAGAAATTCTCAAATCACATCATTCAAAGTATGGGTAGGAGAGCACAGCATAGAGAAGAATGCCTATAAAAGAGCACCCAGGAATCGCTGTGCTTGTTCAGACGTATATCATGAACCTATTGTGTTTTAGGAAGAACTACAGGAGTTTTCAGGGCATGCAGTCTGTGCGGAATGCTCCACCACCATGGTTTATTCACATAATTTACATATCTGTGCATTACATTATTTTTTTCTTTCACTGTACCATTTAGGGTTCAGTTGGAATTGGCATCCAGGGACCTCCTGGACAGGATGGACCTCAAGGCTTAAAGGTAATTTCTTTTTCTATGCTACTGTTCCAAAATGACTCTATTCTGTTCTTCCCCTTATTTCGTGATACACTTCTAACTTCTTATTTCATGATACATTTCTAAAGACTCCTCACTTCTAACTTTTTCAGTACTGTTGTTTGTGGACAGCTCCTGCCAAATTAAGTGGTTCTCAACCTTTTCTTCACATTTAAATACCTTTTGTGGCCACGGACCATGGCCACGAACCACCAAGACTTAACTCATAACATTTCTTCAAACCGTCACGTACCCCCTGTGACTACATCACAGACACCCAAGGATCTAGGACCACAGGTTGAGAACCATTGCAGTAAAAGATTCTGGAGAGTAATTTCTTAAAACCTACAATAGAATGGAGATTTAATTTCTCAGATTAACCTTTAAAAGTTAGAATTTCTTGTTTCATTTCTGCATGCTATGTCCTATATATCATTCTTCACTTGGAGTTTCGGTTAAGTCCGGAAACATTTTCAAATCACTTAAATTTGAAAATGCACAAAATGGGGAAGTATATCGATGCATTTGTAATTCTTTCTTCTCAAATGTTTGAAGAACAACAACAAAAAGACTTGCAGCTTCTTAGCTTATTCTGATGCCTAACACCATATATTGTGCATTATTTTCAGGGAGATCCTGGTTTACCTGGCCCACCAGGCCCACCTGGTTCACCAGGTGGAGTTGGAACTCCTGGCCAGCGTGGCCTGAGAGGAGAAAATGGAATGACTGGCCAACCTGGACCCCCAGGAGAGAGGGTAAGATTGATAATTGCTGTTGTCATCCCATAGCCTGGTGTGTTCTCTGAATAAAGGAATAACAACCTCTAGAATCCACATTGAATTAATATTCCATCACTGATCATTCCTCTTTTTATGACCCTTTGTATTGCCCTCTTGTTCTGGATTTCTCCATAATGATAAGTAGTCTTTAGATTTGTTCTTTGTCTGAGCACTCAACCTATGCCTAAAGACAAATGTCACATTATTTAAACTGATTCACTAAGTTTTATGCAGATGGGAAATCCTGGGTCCTTGGCTCAAATGCTGAACTCTGTTCCTCCAATCTTCATCCCATTCTGTCCTCAACTTTAAAGTTGAAGAAACTAACCATGTATAACTGATAGAAAGAGAATGGCTTATGTCAATGATTTTTCCCCATAATGTACATTTATATCTTCTCCACATTTAAGTGTAGGTCAGCAGTGTGTAACTCTACTTACAGTATACAACTGGAATGCAGACTCCAGTAGATTTAATAATAATAATAATAATAATAATGATGATGATGATGATGATGATGTTGTTGTTGTTGGAAGGGACCTTGGAGGTCATCATTTCATTAGGAGTAACATGAACAAGGCTTCTCCTGTTTGGAGTGAAGCCTCTGGGTTGACAGATATTTTCCTCATTAGGGTTTGATTGGCTTCCCAGGGAGAGAAGGTACTGCAGGGTCACCAGGACCTCCAGGACCCCCAGGTTCACCAGTAAGTAATGAGATGGTTGGAAAGTAGTTTAATGAGGACTGTATGTACAGTCTGAATCATATCCTCTGTGTTGCATTGCTACATGTACATGTTCTTTGCTAAATCTATTTTTATTATTCCCTTTTCTTATGATCGCTTTATTGTAGGGTACTTCAGGCACTCCAGGAGTAAAGGGTGACAAGGTAATCACATCTGTTTCTCCAAGATAACTTATTCTAATTTTTGCTCATTCTACAATCAGTCATTTCTTGGATTTACTATTAATAAATGAAGTTTTAACCTTCAAAACATAACGATTAAAGGAATTAATCACTGATAGGCTTTCCTTTTGTCATATTCTGATTTTTAGGGGGACACAGGTATTGGACAACCAGGACCTAGAGGAGAACGAGGAGATCCAGGATCTCGGGTAGGTATTTTACCCTGACTCTGGAACTATCTTAACATCATTATCCAGGCATGGTGATATTGTATGGGTGTGTATAATATTTTGAATTATTTGAGTACAAAACTTAACGAAACTCCTCATTTCAAAATTAAATTTATTCAGGTGCAAGATAGGCTTTTTTTTTTGAGATTGAGATTGAGATGGAGTATTCCAAAGTACACACTGTTTTCAGCTGTGAAGATTTCTTAAGATTTCGAAAGCAGTCTGTTACTCAGAAGAACAGTTTCAAAGTGGAAAAAGAGAAACTTTGACAACTCAAAGCCCAAAAGTTTGAAACATGATGTGTGTTGCATACTCTTATGCTGAAATTCTAATCATATTTGACCAATAACAAAAGATGAGTGCACAGAACTAACTGTGCTAGATATTTCAGGGTCTGAAGCAGAAAATATTTAGCAGTACTGTAATATCTGGTTTTTCCTCCTATTAAAGCAGAGGATGGATATTTAGATTTTGTAAACTAAAATTGGTTAGAGCAGACATGTCAAACACAAGACCCGGGGGCTGGATGCAGCTCGTGAAGTGGTTTCATGTGGCCTGCGAACCCATCCTGGAAACAGTGAGGGAACGGCCTCCGCTGGCTTGACCCTGGCCCAGGCCGGCTGGCAGCCAATGTACAATTTTGTGGTGGCCATCTATGCTGAAACACGTTAAGTCTTAGCTCCACAAGGCCATCTAGAAACAGCAAGGAACCAATCCCTGCCGCATTGGCCCCACCCTCTGGGTGCATGCTGGGGAGGTGTCACCCTTTGTGAGGAATGAAGAAATGGACCATGCCTTGGCACTTGCTCCGGTCCCACCCCCTTCTGCCAGAGACCCTCAGATCTGTCCCACTCCTGCCCAGGCCCCCAAAGGCACCCTTCACGCGAACGATCTAGAGCTGGCCATGCCCACCCAGTAGGCCACATCCACTCCATCCACACCCACCCAATAGGCCACACCCACCCTGGCCCCACCCACCCAGCCCCCCAAGGGCAACCGCAATGCTGATGCGGCCCTCAATGAAATTGAGTTCAACACCCCGTGGGTTAGAGATTCTATCTCCCAATATAATTTTGGGCGAAAACAAATATTATTAAAATATTCAAAAGCCATATTTTATAAAAGCATTTCTCCGTTCAGAAAAGGACTGTGAAGTTTAAAATGTTGGAATAAAATATGAACTTTAGTGTGGCATTTTGGGATTTATCAGCTGGTTGAGTTTTATGGGAAATTCCCAGCTTTGGCTTGATGTACAGTTGTCCCTCTCCCTGCCCCGGTTATTCTTTTGTTCTGTATGAATGTTTTACTTGTCTTTTCTCAGGGTGAAGATGGGCGCCCAGGTCTGGAGGGAGATCGAGGGCCTGCTGTAAATATCTCACTCAATCTTCTTTCCTCTATTTGTCTGGTCCTAAGCATAAACATTTTGCATTTAAGCATTGTTTTGTCTTTAGGGCCCTCCTGGAAACAGAGGAGAGAGGGGTGACAAAGTAAGTAAGAATGGGGTGGGGCAGTTGTTAGGAGGAATAGAATATTCCTGCTCTGTCCTATTTCTAATGCTGAAAAATAAAATCATTTTATTAATATAGTTTTAGCTTTGGAATGAGTGAAGAAAAGTAATTAAACATCTGGCATGTCCTGTTGCCAAGCACCGGTTACACTGCAAATCTGAATTATGTCAAAAGAAAACACTTTTTGGATAGACAAAGAACCAGCCTGTAAAATATGCATAATTACAGTGTGCCCTTTCCCTTACATTGTCTAGTCCTCATAATAAGTTGGCTGCTTTTTAAGCAAGCACCCGGGCCACAGTGAAATCAGATGATGATGATGATAATAATACCCTATACCATTTCAGACAAATGGCCGTCCAGTCTCTTCTTAAAAACTTCCAGTATTGGAGCATTCACCGCTTCTGGAGGCAAGCTATTCCACTGGAGTTTTCAAAATATCTCTACCGAAGTCTAACTCTTTAGATTCCTGGAGGCAAGGGCTTATTATCCTAGTTTCTGCTGTGAAGTACCATGGATTATAATTATTAGCCTTAATATTAACCATCTATATATTTATAATCCAACTGATCTAAGAGTGCTAGATCATTGACAATAATTATGTAAATTAATTTATAATTATACTTTTTTTTCTCTTAGGGTGACATTGGGCTTATGGGGCTGAAAGGAGACAAAGTAAGTATCACAGTTTTGGAAAGATTAAGTTGTGATTAGTGGTGATACCTGTGCAGTTCCAAAATAAACTTGCTTGGCAAGTGGGCAGCCTTAGAAAACACATGAATGAACAAACAAACTCTTCAAAGCAAGCCAGCATCTATGCAAGTCTACCAACAAAGTTATAGCCCAAAAATATTTTCATCTGATACACATTAGCCTAACCTTGAAAAAGATATAAGAAATCTCCAAGTCTCTGCTTTATCTCTTGCATTATTTGAAGGGAGAAGGCCTTCAAACTCAATCAGGCACAGATTTTGCAGGCAAAAGTTGCAAGGTTGAGTCCTGGGTCTCTCCAGGTAGCAGAAATTATGACATGAATCCCTGATAATTTCCTAGCTGTGAGGTAATTGATTACTTTTTTCAGAATTGATTTATGGGTTGGTTTTTGCCATGCTTCAAACAAAATATTTTATTATGGAACAGTTGATATTTACATTACAGAAAAATTGTTATTAGCTCAGAGCAGAAATGAAAACTGAACAATTGAAGTATTTAGAACCTTCTTGATTGTCATATTTTCTCAATTATAGGGAGATACTGTCATTGTGGAAGGCCCAACAGGTCTGCGGGGGAACAAAGGAGAACCAGTAAGTAATATGACACACAAAAACACTAATTTCTCTTGTAGTTAAATTGCATCATTTGTTTTTTTTTTTAAAAAAAATTTCTTTTTAAAAATCAATCTGTATGCTCTTCCATAATAGCACTTCAACTTTATTTTTGATTCTCTTGCCAATGATTTTTTCCCCCTTCCATTCAACTGTGTCTGATTCTGCCTGGACAAGTCCGTGCAAGGTTTTTCTAAAATTGTTTGCCATTGCTTTTTTTCGAGGGCCGAGAGAAAGTGACTGGCCCAAGGCTACCTATCTGGCTTCACGCCCAAGGCAAGATTAGAATTCACAATCTCCCAGTGTCTATCCTGGAGCCTTAACCACTATATCAAACTGGCTCTCATTAATGATTTAAAAGGTATATTTTTTTTCTTTTGCACTTTCCTAGGGAGAACGTGGCCTAAAAGGAATGGAAGGGGACAAGGGTGACAAAGGGGATCACGGAATCATTGGAGAGAAGGTACTGGGTCAGATCTTTGGGTTGCATTTATCACGATAGGCGAGGAATTCGGATTGTGTCAGGCAGGTAAGAGAGCAGGCAAAGGCGCATCTTTTGCTGTATCCCATACAGATACTGCAAGAGGCTGGCTCCTCAAAAGTGCTAAAATGCTTCCTAAAAATCCTGCACACTCTAGAGCAGGGGTCCCCAATCCCCGGTCCTTGGACCACTACCAGGCTGCGGCATGCCAGCAACCGGTCTGCACAAACAAGCAAAATCCCATCCGTGAGATGCAGGCAGCACACAAAACCATGCGCCCTCTGGTCCACGGAAAAACCTCTCTCCACGGAACTGGTGCCTGGTGCCCAAAAGGTTGGGGACCTCTGCTCTAGAGGCAGTGAGGGCTAAAGGAACCAGTACCTGTATTAGAGTACAGAAGATGAGTTAGAGTGAAGGAATTGGTAAGGTCAATGACATCTCTGTGCATCACCTGAAAGCATTCCATACTGAACCTTTTCATCCTGCAGGTTTCAAATGTCATAGCTGAATTTTGTAACTTTTTTCATTGGAGGGGGGGCATGGTCAAAAGGCAAAATTAGGTCTTTTCAAAGCTCACACCCACTCTTCGTAGTTCCCGACAGTTCTGGTGCTGCTGCAGAGTTTTCTGTTTGCTCATTGTGTCTCCGAGTTATGAAACTTTGCATGTTGCCAGATATTTATTAAACTATATGAATATATGTATAGATCACGACTGAAAAAGGCAGTCTGTCTATTTAAGTGTACCTAGTCCATCCATCAAAACAGTAAGGACTTTCTGGAATACTGCACAAGAGACAATTCAATAGAGAATCCATTAAAAGCATTATGCCAAGTTTCATATAAGAAGAATTATGAATACTTTCTTTTTTCTTGAGCACGGGAATTAGATAGGCATTTTTCTCTCTCTCTTGATCTGACACTCATGTTTGTCTGTAATTTGCAATTTTAACTTAGGGAGTAAAGGGTGAACAAGGTGAGAAAGGATCCACAGGCTTCCCTGGTGCACGAGGACCCAGTGGGCAAAAGGTAAGAGATTATTTCTTCACTCATGGTTGCATATCTACTGGACGGTTTCATTTTCCTATCAGGTGTCTATATACTGGCTGTTTTCCTTTACACAGGGAGAAATTGGTAAATCGGGAGAACCAGGAGAGCCGGTGAGTGCTCTTTATGTGTTGCAGTTTCTGCCTACATTTGTGCAGTTCCATGTATCACTTTGCCTTCATCTTTATTTCTCCAGGGCCAGTCTGGAAAGGATGGTATTCCTGGAACCAGAGGGGAGAAAGGAGAAATGGGACCTATTGGAATGCGAGGCCCAAAGGTGTGATCTACCATAGTTATTTTTACCTTCTTATAAGTTTAAGAGATTCTCTCCAGGTCATATAGAGTTGATCTCTATCGCAAAGATTTGTGAAGCTGATGCAGGGAGAGGCGTATATTAGCTCAGAAAAGAGCTACCTGTATCTGTACAATGGAGTCAGAAGCTACATATTCATGCTGGGTTGCGCAGTGGTTAGAATGCAATACTGCAGGCTAATTCTGCCAACTGCCAGCAGTCCGATTCTCACTGACTCAAAATCGACTCAGCCTTCCATCCTTCCAGGGTCAGTAAAATGAGGACCCAGATTGTTGGAGGCAATAAGTTGACTCTGTAAACTGCTTAGAGTGGGCTGTAAAGCACTGTGAAGCAGTATATAAGTCTTAAGTGCTATTGTTATTAGGTTTAACTGCAAAAAGAGCAGTCTAGCCCTTTTACCAACAAGAAGGTCTAACCTCTACATGCCAGTTTGCATCATATTTCACAGGAGATAAAACCTTGGACAGAGGTTCAGATATTTTTTTGCCAGGCTTTTATTTTACTGATTTCTTGTGGATTTCAAAGTCTTGTTTTATAAATTGTCATGGTAGGAGCTGTAGCTTCTTTAATGTTGTTTGCATTATATTTGATACAGGGTTTTTGTTTCTTTGCTTTTCCTCTCTTCTTGTTTTTAGAAAAACATTCTAAAAATATGTACAGTCAATATTGGAGATGTGCATCGATGTTATGTTTATTTGCAGTGCTCATTTTATTTCTCTTTCAGGGCGATCGAGGAATGAAAGGAGCCTGTGGCCAAGATGGAGATAAGGGTGAGAAGGTGATTGCCAAATTTACTCTTTGATTTCTTTGCATTATGAGATATTAAGCAAAAACTAAAAAAAAGATTGTTTTTTTTAAGTTGTATAATGATAATTTGGAATATTGTAAAAAAAATGGAAAAATGGGAATTGAAAATATACAGACCTCCGAAGAGAGAATTGAAATCAACAGTAGAAAATAAATTATTATTTTTCTTCCACTTCAGCTACCCTCAGGGTACATACAAGGCTTTCCTTCTTAAGGGCAGAATTCTGGACATGTCTAGAATTCTGGACATTTTCAAAGCATTGTGTCTGTATACGCAGAATCTGTTCTGGGATAGATAAATAATAATTTGGGGAATCTTTATCATAGTGAAGCCCCTCACTAAATAGAATATAAGCCTGTTGCAATTTTGCTGTCTACATTTTCTTTTGCCTTCCCTTTTCCAGCTGAAACGTTTTTCCCTTCTGTTCTAGGGAGAGCCGGGGTTACCAGGCCGAACGGGCCTTCTTGGAAAGAAGGGTGATCCTGTAAGTGCTTCAAGTATCTTCCAGTGGGGAAGTAGAGCAGGTCATATATTTGGACAGAACAGCCTATACCTTTTGCCTTTTTTTCCCCCCCTAGGGAGAGATTGGCATACCTGGGAGCCCAGGAATCCCTGGAAAGGAAGGCCTTATCGGTCCAAAGGTATAGAACAATGAATACATGATATAATAATATATAGAAATACAGCATAGAATGGTATACAGCAGACCTGGCTGGAGAATTCTGAGAGTTGAAGTCTGCATCTCTTCACGTTGCCAAGGTTGAGAAACATTGATATAGAGTAATGAGCTTATATGGGAAGAAAAGTGAACGCTAGCACTGCAAACGAAAGGTATATGACTCTAAGGACCTTAATGGCTGCTGTCAAAGATGCCAATACTATGGAGTTCTGAGAATAGAGGTAGCCCAGATTTGCTGTATATACTTAGTATATACTAAGGTGTCAGTAGATCAGTATTGAAGTATTGATGGCGGGGAGAGGTTGTGAATATCTGGCCCCACATCCCAGAGAGGGTTAGCACCCACAATTCAGAGATTGAGGTTGCCTTATAATATTGTTGTGTATTGAACTTACATGGTTCAGATGTAAGTTGGGAACGGTGCTGTCTCCATTTTGGTTGGAAATGGTGCTGTCTCCATTTTGATTGGTTCAACCAATCACCAATAAATCAGCCTACTGTATATGAATTTTTTTATCATGAAGTAAACTTTTTTGCATATGTAAGATACATACACCCATATGCATACATAAACACACACACACACACACACACATACTTGGGGGAGTGGGATATGGCTAGATAATTTGCTTCTATACAAATCACACCATTTTTATATTTATTTATTTTCCTTATAGGGTGACAGAGGATTTGACGGCCAGAAAGGATCCAGAGGCGATCAGGGAGAAAAGGGTGAAAGGGTGGGCTATTCTTTCACTTACAAATAATGGAGGGGGGGGGAAATCAATACAATAAAATCTGCATACTTTTAAAATCTGGAAATAAAAGAAATGCCATGCTTTTAAAAGCTATACTTGGGGATAAATAAATATAAATCAGGGGTGTCAAACTGCCGGCCCGCAGGCCAAATGCATATGGCAAAACCGGCCCATCCCATTGCCGGCAATGGGAAAAAAAAGTCGTGATACGTCGCAACACGTCACGTGATGTTGTGAGTTTGACTTCCCTGATATAGATGATATAGCTAGATATGGGTATATATAAATGAATACATAAAATTCTTAGTTTGGATGAATTTGTCTGTTTAATTTGCTATCAAAGCAATAGAAATGCACCTATAAACAAAATAATCTTTTGGTTTTTTATTTCAAACTGCCTAGATTTCAATCCCTTTGAGAGCCAGTTCTCACAATAGGAGAAACTTCTTGCACATTAAAACAACAGATGAAACAATTCCTACCCAAAAAATAGTAGTTTAAAACCTTGATTTCATTATAACTAGGGCTTGTATTTGATACACAGCAGTTGCTGGAATTCTTTTCATGATAACTTTTATTAGCTTTAATCTTAAAAATAAATCTTTGTATCAGAGTTGTGTGTCTCTGACCAAACGTTCTAAAAAGCAGCCTGATAGCCCATTAAATTAATTGTGCTTATATCTTATCTTCTGAAACCTTGCAGTTTAATTTTCATAATATAATTACTTTTCCAAAATTGTAAAACTGTCCACTTATATGTTTATTCATTATTAGAGAAACATAGGCAGAAATTGTTTTAACCCTTTTCAGAGTCATCGTGCAGTCTCAGTTAAGAGGATTACAAGGTATAAGATTTCTGCTTTTGGAAAGATTGCTAAGGACTCTACCTTTTAATACAAATCTAGGCTTATGTGCATAATGAGGATAATATAAGTAATGCTTATATGGTTCAATAAACCTGGTTTATTGAACTATACAAATAAGGGGATATCACTCAAAGTTAGAACTCTTAAGTGAGTTTTTATAATATAATCCTTACTTGATTCATAGAGATAATAATAATAACAATAATAATAACAACAACAACAACAACAAATGTGCCACACTTACTATCAAACAAGGAAAAGTAGTGAAAACTGAAGGAATCAAGATGCCCCACGAACATAACATTAAGAGTCTGGATGAGGAAGAGTACTACAAATACTTGGGTATCCTTCAAGCTGACAACATTAAGCACACTGAAGTCAAGAAAAAGATTAGAGGTGAATACATCAAGAGAGTGAAGAAGATCTTAAAGTCCAAACTCAATGGTGGAAATACCATAAAGGTAATCAACACCTGGGCAATTCCAGTCATTAGGTACACAGCTGGAATAGTGGACTGGACTCAAGCAGAACTAAAAGCAATGGATAGGAAGACCAGAAAAATAATGACAATGAATCATGCCCTTCATCCACGCAGTGACATTGACAGACTTTATCTACCAAGGCAAATAGGTGGGCGTGAAATGCTGTAAGTACATCAGATGGTTGAAGAAGAAAAAATGGCTTTGGAAGAATATCTGAAAAACAATGATGAAGATGCACTGAAATTAGTATATCAGGAAGGCTTACTGACTACTGGAGAGACCAAACTGGCCTACAAGAAAGACCAAATGAAGAACAGAATAGAGGCATGGGAAGAAAAAGCACTACATGGCCAATACGTTAAAAAAATAGCTGGGAAAGCAGATAATAACAAGACCTGGCAATAGCTAAGAGCAGGAAAATTGAAGAAAGAGACCGAGTGACTAATTCTGGCTGCACAAGACCAAACCTTAAGGACAAATGCATATAAAGTCAAAATTGAGAAGACAGCAACAGACAGTAAGTGCCGCCTATGCAAAGAAGCTGAAGAAACAGTGGACCACTTGGAAGCTGTTGCAAGAAGATTGCACAGACTGACTACAAACAGCGGCATGACAAAATAGCAACAATGGTGCATTGGAAAATCTGCAAAAAATATCATTTGCCTGTAAGCAAAAACTGGTGGGATCATAAAATAGAGAAAGTCATAGAAAATGATAAAATTAAACTTCTCTGGGACTTCAGAATTCAAACAGCAAGCACCTGCAACATAACACCCCAGACTTAACAACTGTCGATAAGAAAGACAAAAAAGTCTGGATAGTGGACGTGGCAATGCCTGGAGACAGCAGAATAGACGAGAAAGAAATGGAGAAGATAATAAAATACAAAGACCTACAAATAGAAATAGAAAGACTGTGGCAAAAGCAAGCAAGGGTAGTACAAATAGTAATAGGCTCCTTGGGTGCAATTCCAAACAACTGGAGCACCACTTGAACACCATTGGCATTGACAAATTTGCTATTAGTCAATTGCAAAAGGCGGCCTTACTAGGAACTGCTTCCATCCTGCGACGATATCTGTAATACCATCAAACATCCACATCTGCCTATCCCAGGTCCTGGGTAAGGACTCGATAGGTAGACAAAATGCCAAATCCAGTCTGAACATCTGGCTGACTGTGCGATGATCCATAATAATAATAATAATAATAATAATAATAATAATATAATAATAATAATCCCCCAGTGAGGCACTACCTTGACGTGGTTGTGGGGCTTGTGTACTCTGAGGAAGATGAGAGCTATGCCAGAGGTTCAACCATACTGGACAGGTCTCATCAGAGGAGTCAGACAAAGAGTGTCTCTCCCATAAAAAATATGGTGAGACGTAAATTTCAGAATGCCATACCGGCTCGGACGTCGCCCGGGTTAACAAGGTCCGCGCTAGATATTGGAGTTCCTGGATATCTGGTGAAAAATGGGTTACAGGACTCAGGACTGTTGGCTGAGCAACCAGGGCCAGCAGCTGCAGAACTACTGGAAGAAAAGGTGTTTACCCGTCGCAGATACACAGTGATGGAAAACAAAGAAATAATGATCTGTTACTACAGATCAAGTCCAACAAGAAGAGGATATCTAAAACGAATGCACCAGTTCTGGAAAGAACAACATCCAGAATCAGAAATAACAGAACAGAGACTAGCAGATCAACGCCGATTTATAACACGAAATAAAGTATTCACAGAAACAGAATTGGACGAACTGCAAAGGTTTACCCAGGGCAAAGAAATCAAAGCCTTACCAGAAGTAATTCAGAATGTAGAGGCAAACCAGGGGGAGTTGGCAGTGAAGGAATCCAGCAGAGATATACAACTGTTCTCATTTGGAAACCAGGCACCTCTCCTCAGGAAGAACAAAACCCTCTAACTAAAGAAATAAAAGAATTGAAACAAAGAATAACTGAGCATCTAGAACAGCACAAAAACAACAGAATAAGGCTACCTGCATTGAAGCTTGTTCCAAAGAAACAGCTAGCACAAGCATTAAAAGATGCAAATACTGCAATATCAAGTATAAGCACCAATTCACTGCAAGAAACAAACCAACTAATGTACAGCACAGCTGCAGTTATAACAGAATACCTGGGATGCAAAATCAACAAAGAAGAAAAACAAACAAACAGTGCACCAGAAAAATGGAAGGTTAGACTAGAAAATAAGATCAGCAAGTTAAGATCACATGCAAGCAAGCTAGAACAGATGAAAGAAAAGAAGCTGAAGAACAAGAAGACCAAAGAATACCTAATCAAGAAATACCACTTAGAAACAAGGAAGATCAAGGAAGCACTGGAAATAATAAAGCAACAAATAACAGCTATAGCCAGGAAAATCAGTAGATATGAAGCTCGAATTGCAAACTATAGGCAGAACCTCCAATTTCAATCCAATCAGAAACGTTTCTACCAATCCATCAATGGAGAAACTGCAAGGAATCAGTCAGTACCTGACAAGGAAGAAACAGTGCAGTTCTGGAAGCAGATATGGGATAACCCAAAGAAATACAACAAGGATGCGGCTTGGTTAAAAGAGGTGGATGCAAATAAAACAGAAGTTGAAATGAAAGAACTAGTAATAACAACAAAAATGGTAGAAAAAAGAGCAAAGAAAATCAAAAATTGGTCAGCACCAGGTGAAGATGAACTGCATGGGTTTTGGTTGAAACATCTAACTGTTATACACCCACTCATTGCCAAGCAGTTCAACAATATATACTACAAGGAGGAGAAATTGAAAAGTGGCTAACAACTGGGAAAACCTACCTAATAATGAAAAATCCAGCAAAAGGGGCAACACCAGGTAACTACAGGCCAATTACCTGCTTACCAACAACTTTCAAATTACTAACTGGTGTAGTAGCTGATGCAGTGCAACAGCATCTAGTTGAAAACAATCTCTTTCCACCTGAGCAGAAAGGAAACCGCCCCAACAGCAGAGGAACAAAAGATCAACTCCTAATAGACAAAATGATCTTGGAAAACTGCAAGAGAAGGAAGACCAACCTGAATGTGGCATGGATTGACTACAAAAAGGCATTTGACTCTCTGCCACATGATTGGATAATAAAGTGCCTAGAAATAACAGGAGTCAGTAGAAACATCAGAAAATTTGTGCAAAGATCGATGGCACAATGGAAGACACAGTTGCAGATCAATGGTGAGAGGCTGGGAGAGGTTAATATCAAGAGAGGAATATTTCAAGGAGATTCATTATCACCATTACTATTTGTTATTGCACTGTTTCCTCTGTCAACAATACTGAATAACTCAGGACATGGCTATCAAACATCAAAAACATCTGCCAGACTATCCCACCTCCTTTATATGGATGATCTGAAGCTGTATGGAAAAACATCATCTGAAATAGAATCGCTGCTCAACACTGTCCGTATATATAGCCAAGATATTGTAATGGAGTTTGGCTTGGACAAATGTGCCACACTTACTATCAAACAAGGAAAAATAGTGAAAACTGAAGGAATCAAGATGCCCCACGAAAATAACATTAAGAGTCTGGATGAGGAAGAGTACTACAAATACTTGGGTATCCTTCAAGCTGACAACATCAAGCACACTGAAGTCAAGAAAAAGATTAGAGGTGAATACATCAAGAGAGTGAAGAAGATCTTAAAGTCCAAACTCAATGGAGGAAATACCATAAAGGCAATCAACACCTGGGCAATCCCAGTCATTAGGTACACAGCTGGAATAGTGGACTGGACTCAAGCAGAACTAAAAGCAATGGATAGGCAGACCAGAAAAATAATGACAATGAATCATGCCCTTCATCCACGCAGTGACATTGATAGACTTTATCTACCAAGGCAAATAGGTGGGCGTGGAATGCTACAAGTACATCAGATGGTTGATGTTTGTCCCGCGCCTTGCAAACGGCTCGGGCGTTTGCAGGCAGTCCCGGGCAGGTGCAAAGCTGCCCGGGACCAGACAGGCTGTCGCCAGCGCCGTGCGCATGCGCGGGTGCTGGCGCGGGAAAAGTAACCCATTTACCCGGGAGTTGCCTATATAAGAGGCTGCGAGGCGTTTGGGCGAGGCTGAAGCCATCTTCCTGTAAGCTGAACGCTGAATAAAAGAAACTGAGAACTCCAGCTGCTTCTCGTGTCTGTTTTCCCGCCACGGACTCAACACTGGCGACGAGGATGGGATGCCTTGCACTACCTGGAAAGGAAGAAGTGTAAGCTTACCCAGGAGTCCTGAGCGGCGAAAGAGGAACGGCGTCGACTCGGCAGCTGCCCGCCAATCCGGTGCGCATTCGGGGGTAGGCTGGCTGATAGACCCGTCTCCTGAAGATCCGAAGATGGCGAAAATCGGAAGGCTTTCGGAATTCGACGTCTCACATCCAGAGCGGTGGGAGTCCTACGTATCCAGAATGGAGAACTACTTCAAGGCAAACCAAGTGAGGGAAGATAGCTTGAAGGCGGCCACCCTGCTTTGCATTTGCGGCCAAGACGCCTTCGAAATCGCAGAAAACCTTGCAGCACCTGTCCCAGTAGAGTCTGTAAGCTACGCAGACCTGAAGAAGCTGCTGAAGGAGCATTTCCATCCCAAGGTGTCCGTTATCTCATGGCGCCACACCTTCGAACAAAGGGATCAATGGCCCGGTGAGTCAGCCAAGGAATACATCGCCGCGTTACGGAAGGCCGCCAAGCCCTGCGAGTTCAAGGACCTCGAGGAATGACTGAGGGACCGATTCGTGTGCGGGTTA